TTTACCATCGCATGAGGAGACACATTTGTAATGTCAAAGCATAATTGCCATTGTGTAGTGATTTTTAACATGTTTTTGTTTTAATATCCTAAAATAAATTATATATATTATAATAATTATTAAGGTGTGTGAAAAAGTTCTATATATAATTTTTAGTTAATTTTTCTTGTGTTCATATATGTGTTTTCATTTCTGGACATAAAGTGTGTAAAAACTGTTCAAATGTTCTGTATCTGTATATCTGAGGACTTTTGGATATTCTTTTAGCCATTATCAAGAATGATTTTTTTTATTTTTAACTGAATCTATGAACATCAACTATGGACACAGCTAAAATGTGCTGACCATGTTTGGAAAATAAAACATTTCTATAACTCTAGATACATGCATAAAAAAAATCTATACATTCAGTTAAAAATGTCTGCATGACAATGTTGCTCAGATAAAAGCTTGGTTATTTATAAGAAAAAGTGTAGAATAAAGAAGAAAAAAATGATTTAAATGATTTATTCTATGCAATGATTTTTCTTTATTTCATCCTCCTCATCAGCCTAGTGACCAGGCATGGTTGTAAAGTTGCTTCACACCTGGTTAGTCCCCTCCACGTATCTGGGTTGAAAGTCAGAGAGGTATTCATCATATGTCTTGGTCAAGTAGATATGGTAGTGCCCATCCCTGTCCAGGCTGAACCAAAGTCTGTATTCTCCAGCTTGAAGGCTCGCCTTGGCCATAAACATGTAGCCATTGATTCTATCAGAGAAACCCTTCGTCCTCACCATTGACATCAGTCTAGAAAGCCCTCGACTCAACAATGCCATCTTGTCACTGCACTGGTTGCATCCATAGCTATTGAGCTCAGACTACTCCATTATGCTAGATGTCTGTTGAAACCCACAAGAAGGTTTATCTGCCCTTTGACAGGTCTTGTTTTTAATCCTTCTGGATGCCTAGCCACCTTCCTCACCAGAAAAGCCCAGTGGGGGAAGCGGTTTAGTCACTGATGACCCGACCATGCAGCAGGTAGTATTAGGTTACACAATACCAGTAGCACTCGTAGAGTGACTTGATATAAAATTTATTATTTATTTCTTAACAATAGAGCTCTTGAAAATGACTAATGAATTGGCCAAAAGTGAATATTAAATCATTAAAGACACTCCCTGTACTCTCCTATTCCCTGCAAAAAGAAACTTGCAAGATTTTCCTTTCTGTCACATTCAGTGAAACGTATAAAAGAAAGGTTGCTGCCCATTTATTTTTATATATATATATATATATATATATATATATATATGTGTGTGTGTGTGTGTGTATAAAAAGACAAAAAGAAAGCTTAACTTCGCTGATGAGTTTCGTCCATTGAGGGACTTTATCAAGGCAAATGCAAGGATTTTATTTTGTTACAAATATCTTTTATATATATATATATATATATATATATATATATATGTGTGTGTGTGTGTTGTGGCAAAAGTAAAACTCTTTTATTTATTAATTTTTTTGAACAAAAGTAATTTTTTTTTTTTTTTTTTTTTTTTTTTAAAGCAGTTCACCCCAAGCAAGGTGGGAGTGCCATTAGCATGCAAGGGGTTATACATGATTGAGAACAGGAGTAAAGAGGCATGTTTGAGGAAAGGATACAGAGAAGGACAGGGAACAAGCCCAGTGTGTCAGATGCCAATTGACATTACACTTGAATATTTGAAGATTATAGTCATTGGGGAAGCAATTAAGGGGAAGGGAGTTCCACAGATGGGAAGTGCAAGAGAAGAAGCTATTTGAGTAGAAGAGACAGTTACATTTAACTGTTTTGACAGTGAAAGGGTGGGACCAAGATGCCAGCCTGGTAGCTTGCTTAAATTCATGCAGTCTGGGAACCAGTGAAAGTAGCTTGTCAGAACAGTCGCTGTGAAAATAGAAGAGACAGAGGGAAGCCATGGCATGTCTGTGGGAAAGTGATTGTAGACTAGATGCCAGATCAGGACCTATCAAATTGCATATTCGTCTCTGGATTTTGTTGAGGACCTTGAGATTTACAGCGGGAGCACCAGTCCATATAAGACAGCAATATTCCATGCAAGGATAGATGGCTGATAGTTTAAGAAGATTTATAAGTATTGGCACATCAAAACAATATAATTTATTATGGTTAACAAACTATTGTTTAATAAGTCCCTCATCATGTTCAATACAATACTGAACCTTGTCAGCAACACTTATACAATCCATTTGACATATTCCTACATGAATTTCAGGAAATTTATTGGAAATTGCTTGTTTTAATTGAGGAATTATTTTCTGTTTGACCCTGTAAACAAGTTCTGCCAGTACACTCCCCAAAAGAAAAAAATCACTTGGAGTTAGGTCTGGTGATCATGATGGCTCCTCAATTGATCCACATTGTCCTATACACACCATTATGAAATTAAGATTTAGCCATCCTGAATGCATAAGTTATTGTTAATCTTACGCCATCTGTAATTTTTTTTTGTTTCATAAAAGTTAATAAATTAAAATGGGCATTACTTTTTACTATATCATTTGTGAAATATATATATATATATATATATATATATATATATATATATATATATATATATATATATATATATATATATATAAATTTATTTGAAAATTATAACATAAATCTTTATCTATAAAAAGGCAGGATATATGTGTGTGTGTGTGTGTAAATGATTGCACGGCTGCAATTTTGTGATTTGCACCAAAATTTACATGCACATGCTCCAAGTTAGCAGGAAGGCCAAAACCGTTTTTTTGCATTTCCCAACTTTCTCGATAGTGGAAATAATCGGTTTTTTTTCATGCTTCTACAGCAGTTTTCATGTAGTTTGTGGCCATTTTGTACTGGCCAGAGTGAATATCTATAGCTGGCTGCCACAAATAGGCAGGAAGATTCTATTGGCCAGCGTGGGAGCCAACAGCTGACTGACACGAATGTTAACTAGCATGATAGCATGCAAAAAAAATCGATAGCTGCCTTCGTCACAAGCGGGAAAAATTTAAATCTGCATGGCACTTTACTCCAATTGGCTCATTCACTTGCTGAAACTCAACGTTGATTCTGATTCTGCAGAACTGTGTTGGATGTGAAAAAGTATTTGTTGTTAACATTCTTTTTTCATTCGGTTTTTCCAGTTATGAGTCCTTTTTTAAAGCTGATCATTTTGTGTTCATTTTGTTTAGTTCTTTTTTCGTAACAGATTTAATGTTTAGCATAGAGCTTAGAAAAAATTTGCAGTGTGAGATAGGCAAGAAGTAAGGTATGTAGCAACATCAGCATGGCTAAGGGCACTCCTTTAAAGGCAAAGAAGGGCAAAAATATTTTAAATCAAGTGATAGTGATTGCTGTATGAATCGTAAGATTTTTTAATGAAGCACGGGCAACGCTGGGCCATGCTGTTATAAAATCACTACAAAAACAGCCATTTTGTTTCAACACTTCTGGTGTCTTATCAAGTGATGGTGTTATATTTATGTTATAATTTTTGAATAAATAATTATATTTGCTCTACTCTGTATTGAGCACTCTTTTAAGAATAGTATTTGTTTGTTATTGGAATTTATCCCATACACATCAATCCTATAATTGTGTGTGTGTGTGTATATATATATATATATAAGTTTACTATATTTATGTATGTAGGGTGAGTGCTCAATATCAAAGATAGTGTTTCTACATAAAGACAGTGTGAACATAGTAATTGACACAACTTGGTGATTGTCACTTTCACACCTTGATCCTCAGACTACTTGTGTTGTGAAACGGATATTTGTGCAATGTTGATTCCTGTGTCCATCTGTGTGTGTACATCATTTCGTCAATGGTATTAAAAATCAGTGGCCAAAATCCTGGTGTCGGTTCAGAGCTGACAAACTGCTACTATACAACTATCTTATAGGCTCTAAGCTTTAACATAACTGTCAAACTGTTTTATATAATTTAAATGTTATATATATATATATATATTTGATTTTTGTGTTGTGTTGTGATTTTGGACTTGTCGAATGATGAAAGCATTATCTGATTAGTCAATATTGTTAACTGATTCCCAAATGTGTCAAATATACTACTTTGATTATATATTACTTCAAACCATTATTATAGTGGGTAATTTGTATTTGAAATGATAATGTTTGACATAATAAAAATGTCAGATTAACAATAAATTCATTCTTTTTATATATATATATATATATATATATATAAGTGAAGAGTTGACTTCAGTGTTAACTTTTTTATTTACATACGCTCTATTCTGATATTGAGCACTTTATCACATAAATATAGCACACCTTAAAACTATATTTCTTTATTATATATATATATATATATATATATATATATAATCTCAGAACTAAAAAAATGTTTGTAAAAGGACACTGAACAATAAAGACAAAAGGAAAACTTATCCATCTTAGCCTGATGAATATGAGAGTTCTTAAATTTAAAAATTTTGTAAAACTAACAATATTTTTACTTTTGTTTGTAAATACTTGTTGCAAGATAAAATCCTTACATCTGCCTTGATAAAGTCCATCAGAGGACAAAACATTTTGGCTAAGATAAGTTTTCCTTTTGTCTTTATTAGTCACACACGCACACACATATTTGTACAAAACTATAATCATTGAGCACACATTGAGTTTATAACTCACTACAGAAGTAAAAGTCTGTGAGACAAGCTCAGTAATCATTGTACCAGAGTGAAGTGACGCCCCCCCCACTCGTCACACAAATGTGCAGTTATTTATAGTATTTTGTTTTGCATTTTTTTTATAGTTTTTTTTTTTTTAATCTCTTTCTGCGTGATTCTGTTCTTTCTCCCTAACAGAAAATGGCAACAATTATTGAGATAAAATATCATATAACAGATTCCATCTTAGATGACTTTTTTTTTTCTCTCAATTTCATTGTATTCTCCTTTTCTGTTTACCTTAACCCTTACTCTTCTGCTATCCAACCAAATGTCTACTGAATGGTTGTCTTCTTCTTCTTCTTCCAAGAAGCGGTTATTTCAATTTCTCATTAAGTTGTCTCTCAACACAAAATATCATTGATTTGACCAAGTGATTTCTTTTCTTCATTCTGTTTTTATTCCTCCTTGCTTTTTTCAGTCTTCCTTTCTGTTGTTCTTTTTTTCATTCTTCCTTTTTTCCATTATTTCATTCTTTTTCATTCTCCCCTGTTTTCATTCCTCTCATCATTTTTCGTTCTCCTTTTTTCATTTCTTCTTTTTCATTTTTCATTCTTCCTTTTTTCATTTTTTTCACTCTTCCTTTTTTCATTTTTTTCATTTTTTTCATTTTTCCTTTTTTCATTTTTTTCATTTTTCCTTTTTTCATTTTTTTCATTTTTCCTTTTTTCATTTTTTTCATTTTTCCTTTTTTCCATTTTTTTTTCGTTCTTCTTCATTCTTTTGCTTTTTTCTCATTCATTTTTTTTTATTTTCTACATTCTTTTTTTCATTCTTCATTTTTTTTTTAGTCTTCCTTTTTTTTTTTTTCATTTTTCCACAACGATTCCTTATTTCTGAATTTATTTTTAGGCTGTTTTTTGTCCATCTTTCTTTAGTTTGCTATTGAAAGGCTCATAAATTCCAGAGAAAGGCAAATGTCCTTTTTTGTTTTTTACCTTTTGACACTGGTTTAATCAAAAATAATTTTGGTGATTGGACACAATATCAGTTGCTGTTTTAATTTTCATATTTGAATACTATTTTGAAAGAATTTTTTCATATTTTAATAATTTAACATTTTTCATTAACTTATATTTTCTCATTATCATTTGTAGTCTTCTTCCATAGACCATGGCTCTTCATAATTTCCTGTCTTTTGTAGCTCTTAACAATGTTTGTCTTTTTGATATCTCCTAATTTGTCTCCTAATTACTGTTCTGCCAACCATTTTACACAAGTTAGGTAGGTAGGTTATTCACTGCTTTCCTCTGTCTCTCTTGCTTTCAATATGTCTGTAAGTGTTAAATTTTCTAAAATATTTTGAATTATTTTCTGTATATAGAAGGTGCAGAAAAGTCCTTAGCCAAATCAAGAAGCCCTTTCCAAAAAAGAAAATCTGATATTTAATCATTTAGGAAATGATTCTGACCAAAAACTCTCCAGCCTTCCTCACTTGTGTGTGTGTGTGTGTGTGTATATGATCTCCTTGAATTAATGTTAAGATTCCCTTTAGTGTTACTTTGGAGTTTTGTATTCATTCAAGACTATCTTTTGTCTGGCTGTGATAATCCCATTCGTTAAGGGTTCTTTTCAAATTTCTTTATTCTGAAAAACTAGGGATTCGTTATTTAATTAGATTTCAATGATTTTAAAAAAAATCCTTTAGACTTCTCAGTCAGTAAAAAAAAATTATCAGAATGAAATTTATTTATTTTTGGATGTTTTAATTTTTGTTTTTTTTTTTAAATTTTTCCAAATCATTTTTCTTCATTTCAAAAGTGAAGTAACTTGCATTCTAAGAGTTTTAGACCTGCTCTTGGAAAATGGTACTCTCTTCTGTAAAGAATTAATAAGAATTTAAAATAAGAAGCAAAAAAAAAAAATGGTATTCTTGTGAAATAAACTGATTAAAAATATCTTTATTTTTTTTAAGTAAAGAATAACTGCATTGTTTTCTGATAATCATGAATTTTGAAAAAGTAGGGATTCATTATTTAATTAGATTTTAGTGATTTTTTTTTTTTTTTTTTAAAAAAAAAAAAAACAAAAAAGAAGTCCTTAAGTCTTCTCAGTCAGTAAAAAAAAAAAATTATCAGAATTAATTTTATTTTTGGATTACTGATAAAAATACTCTAATATCAGCTACAATTTTTTCTTTTTTGTTATCTCCAATGAGATTAAAATTTATTTGTTTTTATAATCTGTTAAAAATTGAAGTTTTTTTTTAGAAAAGATTTAAAAAAAATCTTAAGCTAAATCTGTGAAAAAAATGGCTTTTTCTAAATCAAGAGGGAGTGAATAAAGGCTACGTTTTTTTTGTTTATCTTATATTTCATTGTTTATATTTATTTTAAGGGCTAAAATCCATTAAAAAAAGACTAGCTAAAAGATAAATAACAAAGAATACTGGAAAAAAAAAAAAAACAAACTATAAAGTAATTTTCTAAATTTTAGCAATTATGAGATATTCTTGTAAATATTTTCAATATACTAAAAAAATAAATAATCCAGACGTTTCTATTACAATAATATTTGGTTAGCATGGATGGGTGGTTGATGTCTAAACCAGCTGCATCAGTAGCTTTTCTGCTGGTGAGGAGAGTGGCATGTCACCTCACAGGATGAAAATCAAAACCCACATAACAACTTGTGTTGCTGCTGTGGATTTTACAGCATGTAGATTTTTATGGGGTGGAGTTACTAGCCCTATGCCCCACTGGTTTTGAATGCAGAGTTACTTTTTTTTATTTTTTTATTTTTTTATTTTTTTTTTTTTAATTGAATTCACCCCATGTAAGGCAGTAAAGATACAAGGGGTTACTGAGTGTGAAAGAATTAGAAAACAGAAACATTATTAAGGAATGAGAACAACAGAAGAGTAATCAGAAAGACAGGGGTTGTTCTAGGCTAAGAGAGCCAAGTCTACCCTATTATTTAACTTTGGGAGGAGATTGATTCATGCCTTTCCAAAAGGTATTTGTGTGAAAGTGAATGCAACAAACTTGGCTGAAATTTGAACTTGGCACTCCAATTTCCTGTATAGTACCAATAACTGCTATACTATGCAAACATCTCTGCCCATATATTTAAGTGAGGAGGTAATGTCGAAGAAGTTGTCCTCAGATGCTTCACCGTTTGATGGCTTTGACAACATCAAAATTGGTTAATTTTTTTTTAATGCTTTGAAAATATTAGTATTAAAGGTTTATATAATGTCTTTTTTTTTTTTATATATTTTACTCCTTTACATTTTGAAAAGTAGTTTTACTTTAATAAATGTTTTTAACATTAAGGCTTTGCTGATTGGGTTGAATCATGAAGAAGTGAAAATAAGGGTCCAGTTTAACATTCTGCTTTCATTGTAATTTAAAAAACAAAACTGATCTCATTTTGCCACCACAAAGATAATTCCTTGTCCACTATTAGCACAGTTGATGCTAAACTCCAGGGGAGTGTCTCTCTGCACCTTCTTGCTCTTACACTTTTAAATGACTTGAAGTGGAACGACTATATTGAATCAATTGCTGCATTTACTGCATGGAAAGTTAGTTCACTGTGCATTGCCAGACGGTTTTTCTCGATAGATTCCATCCTACGTATCTACAAATTTACCATTCATCCATACTCATTAAGTACTGTTGTCATTTCTGGTCTAGTGCCCCAGCTGTTCATCTCAAGGTTCTCGACAAAATCCAAAGAAGGATCTGCAATATAATCGGTCCTGACTTGGCATCTTGACTCCAGTCACTTTCTCACAGATGTGATGTGGCTTCTCTCTATCTTTTCTACGAATATTTCTATGGCATCTGTTCTGCTGAGCTCTTTTCCTTGGTACCCCGACTACATAAATTTAAGTGTACAATTAGACTGCCATCTAGGTCCCAGCCTTTTGCCATTGAAATAGTTTAAAAGTTTACCACCATATCTATTCCAACAGCTTCTTTTCTCGCACTTCCCACCTGTGGAATTTCCTTCTGTTTACTTGCTTTCCTGATAACTACAATCTTCAAAAATTTAAATGCAATTTCAATCGCCATCTTCTGATGTCTTGAACCCTGTTCATCTTTTATCCTTTCCTCATTCCCCTCTATACACTGTTTTTCCCTCCCCTTCATGCTGTGTAACCCCCTGCAAACCAGCGGCATTCCTGCCTTGCTTGGGATGAAATGCTTAAAAAAAAAAATTTTGTAGACTAATCATCATTATGAGAACTGTTACGACTTGAAGGCACATTGTAAATCAGTGTGATTTCTCCTTTTCAGCAACCTTGTAAATAACACCCTTTCACTGCCGAAACTGTTAAATGTAGCCGTCTCTTCTACTCCAATAACTTTGTCTTGCACCTCTCGCCTGTGGAATTCACTCCCCTCTTCCTGTTTCCCTGATAGCTATAATCTCCAACTATTCAAATGTAATGTCAATCGATGTCCTGATCTATCCCCTATCCTTCTCTTCATCCTTTCCTCTCTCACTCCTCCAACTCTCTGAAACACGTTGCATGCTAATGGCTTCCCACCTTGCTTGGGGTGAAACACTTATAATAATAATAATAATAATAAAAAAAAAAAAAACTAATAAATTAGTATTCTTTAAACATTTGTGTTCTGTGCTAACTCACAAAATTGGTGCAGGTCTTCCAATCTCTTCAAAGTTTTTATGAAGTATAGTTGGCTGTTTTAGTTTTGCGGCATATCGACCTTTATGGGTTATTTAATACCGAAATCTAAATATTTTGGATACAGTTTTTTCTTCTTTTTTTTTTTTTTTTTTTTTTAAGATAATAATGATTTCAGTGATACAGGTCTTACTAATTAATCCATACATGGGGGTTTGAGGAGAAACGGTGGATTCATAACTTTCCCAAGGGTATTTGCAGTGTGATTTCTCCTTTTCAACAACTTTGTAAATAACTAATAAATTAGTATTCTTTAAACATCTGTGTCCTGTGCTAACTCACAAAATTACCACAGGTCTTCTAAGCACTTCAAAGTTTTTATGGTTGGTTGGTTTTTGTTTAGCTGCATCTCAAAATCTCGATGGATTATTTAATGCTGAAATGTAAATATTTTGTCCACAATTTTATTTTTGGCCTGGAGATAGTAACAGTTTAAGTGATACAAGTTTTACTAATTAATCCATAGCTGTAGGGAGAAAAGGCAGATTCATACCTTTCCCAAGGGTATTTGAATGTAAGTATATATAACTTACCTAACTGAAATTGTAACTCGGCTCTCTGATTAACAATTCCAAGCCATTATCCATTACACAACCTACACATCCAAGCTTACAGCACCTGCTATTCCTATGTGGTTACCCATCTAGTTATTGACCAGGATCGACTTTGTGTAACTTTGGTGGTCCCACAGGTACTGGTGTTTCAACCTGATGTGTCCAGAAGCCTTTACAGGGTATGATGGAATTTTATTAATAGTTCTTTGAATGTTGTCATCCAGTGTGTATACTATGGTTGTTTGTCCAATGCCTGTGGATGTTATTCTTCTATTTTGTATTGATGACAAAACCATTTCCATACTGTCTGTTTCCAAAGTTATTAACTTGGGTTCCCTCTTTGATTTTGGTTTCTTGGAGACAACCTATATCAATGTTATAACTATCAATATTCTGAGCCAATAATTCCTGCTTTCCATTTTTTTCCCAAATCCTTTAACATTAAATGTCCCAATGGTAAAATCTTTATATACAATTGGAGGCATTTATAAGACATTAACAATTTTTAAACTAATATGCTAAAAATATTGTGCAAAATTCTGTTGGTAACCAAGGAAACTTTGGTAACCATAGCTCTGTTTTTCAGATACATGGCAATAGACTGAAAAGACATTTTGTCAATTATGGTAATATTTATTCAACAAATACATCAAAATTTAGATTCACTCATTTACACGTACAAATACTAACAGCATTTTTAGAAATTTATTGAAAATTATTTTCTTATAGAAATGCATCATAATTATTAAATAAATACATGAAAGCTTTCACTCTAATCATTATCTATCTATCTTCTATCTCAGCCTGTTCACATGTATTTTTCACTCTCTCTCTCAATCTGTTCATATTTATTTAAGTCTGTTCACCACTTTCTCTCTCTCTCTCTCTGTGTTCATATCTATCTATCTATCTATCTATCTATCTAAGTCTGTTCATGTCTCTCTCTCTCTGTTTATAAATATCTAAGTCTGTTTGCTTCCCTCCTTCTCTCTCTATTTCTCTCTCTCAGATTGTTTATAAATATCTATCTATCTATCTATTCTCAGTCAGACCAAGAAGCCCTTCCAAAAAACAATCAAAAGTTTAGAAGTAGCTCAGACTTTTCAGCAATCTGTTTTTCTTATTCTGATACAGCAAATTTTTGTATTAGAGAAAAAAAAATGAAACTGCAATCAAGGTTGTATTTTAACACCAACTGCATTTAAACACAGTAGAAATTGGTATGGTTTCAGCTATTTGTATCATCACCCACTGTCTGTACCATTACTCCACTAGATTAGTTTTAACCATTACCTGTAAAAATAATTCAGGCAGTAGGGATAAAACACTGATTAAGAACTGAACTGGGCAATTTTTTTTTTTTTTTTTAACAAAATTTTGGTATTGTAGGCTGTGCAGGGAAAGATCAGAAAAAGGAATTTACTATAGAAATGCATTGAAAATTGGAAAGTCATTGGTGAAGAATTAATGCATGCATTACTGACAGAAATGGTTATAAAATATATCATGTAAATGCATTGAAAATGAGGAAAATTGTTGTCAGGAATTACTGAAAGCATATTGATGAAATAAGACAATAGTTATGAGGGGGTGCTGAAAAATTCTTGGACTGATACACTTCCCAAAATGTAACCAAATGAATAACTATTGGCATTTTTTTTTCCTTGTTTAATCTCTCCTACTTGGACTGAAAGCTTTTCAACATGCCATCAAAAAAAAAAAATATTTAAAATCATTTCTCTTAAAGACTTTAATTTTGTAAAAACCTTTTGTTTCATGGTTAACTTGTTGAATTCACATAGACAGCAGATTTTTTGTTGTTAAATGGTAGATAAATTATTAAAAATTATTTCTATTGTTGCTCATATATATATTTTTTTTTTCTCAAGATGATGCCCACTTACAAAGAAAATTGATTGTTATTACCCTAACATTGAAGGACACCACCCTGATAGACTGAATCCAACTTTACTCGCGGACTCTGTGTTTGCTCTCATTATGGCCATCGAATTGATTTTTTCCTTTCTTGTTATTACTGCTATTATCATCATCATTTTCGGTTTGATCCTACTGCTATCAGCATTGTTATTGTTGCACTCTAATCGCAGGTGCTCGCATCGTCTTGTACACAGTCTTGATGAGAAGGCATTAGACTTTGAGTACCTGCAGACAAATAAACACTCTGTAAACAAAACATCATCAAAAGCTGCCTTTAATTCGACAAATCAAATTGATCGTTTTTCATGGATTGGTGATAGTTTACCATGCTTCAGATTGTCTGGTAAACAGATCAGTGTATTAACTGAACCAACACAGTTTTTCGAAACTCTTAAGGTAAGTCTGATCTTTCTTTAGTCACATTTTTTTTTTTTTTTTTTTTTTTTTCAAGATTGTGTAGTCGCATAGGGAATGGCTTATTTTCCACATTACAGTCTCTTTCCCCACAAATATAAAGTTGCAAACCTATCGCTATCACTATTTCCACAGCAAATTATATATGATTACATTGAATCAATTGCTTGGTCTGCTAGTTGGTTCCCTTTGTCATGCAAGACAGTTTTTCTTGCTCGAATCTATCCTGCATATATATAAATCTGCCATATGTCAATGCTTTGAATACTGTTGCCCCATCTGGTCTTGTACTCCTGCTATATATTTAGAGATCAATTGTTATCTTTGGTCTTCTGAATTCCTGTTCTTTTATTGTTCTCTCTCTTTTTTCTTATATTCTTTCACAATCAGTAACCCCCCCACTGTGTCTTAGTGGCTTTATTACCTTACTTGGGGTGAAATGATTATTTTTTAATGTTCAGATGAACTCCACTCTTTAGTTCCACCACCAGTTCAGTCCTTTATAGCTAGTACATCATGCTATGTCGACAGAGTTAAATCACCTACATTTCCCAAGTATTCCATTTGTAAGGAGGCTTATGAAACACTGGTTCTTTTATGATAACTGAAGTTAAGTGATGACGAGCATGGTCAATATCTAGATGGGTGACTGCTTGGAAATACCAGGTACAGGGGATAATGGCTCAGAATTGTTAATCAGAGAGCTGAGTTCAAATTCCAGTCGGGTTCATTATATTCACTTACATGCAAATATCCTTGGGAAAAGTATAAATCCACTTCTTCTCCCTCCCAGTTGTACGATCACTGAAGTTAAGCAACGTCAAGCCTGGTCAGTACCTAGATGGGTAACTGCTTGGGAATAGCAGGTGGTGTAAGCTTGGATGTGCAGGTGTTGTAATGGATAATGGCTCAGAATTGTTAATCAGAGAGCCGAGTTCAAATTCCTGTTGGGTTTCTTATATTCACTTATGTGCAAATACTCTTGGAAAAGGTATGAATCTACCTTTTTTCCTCCTCAGCTATGGGTTAATTAGCAAGACTTGTATCACTAAAACCATTATCTCAAAAAAAATTTATTACAATCTAAAAATATTTTCTGGCTTGAAATAATGTCAGAAGGATTGATAATCTGTTAAAAACAAATCAATCAGAGCATATGCTTACAAAATTTTAAATAATTTCAAGTTAAAATTATAAAAAGTTAATATGTGTATTATTTAAAACCATTTAAAGCATGTTTTACTTTTCTTGTGTTGTGTTAAAATAATGCTTACATAAAAAATTTCAATTAATTTCAAAACCGCCATTAAATAGGAATTTAAAGCCGATTCTGACTAAATTTTCACATTTTCTTTTTTAATCATATCACCCCCAAGCAAGGTAGTAAAGCCACTAAGACACTAGGGTTACTGAGTGTGAAAGAATAAGAAAATAGAGAAATATTATTAAGGAGTGAGAACAATAGAAGAGCAATCAGGAAGACAGTAAATGATGATTGACATAGCATTTAAATATTTTGAAGATCAAAGTTCAGTGAAGCCAGAAGAGAGTTCCACAAGTGAGAAGTGTAAGAAAAGAAACTGTTAGCATAAAACTTACGGTTACATCTAGCCAATTCAATTGTAAATTGATGAGACCTTGCCGCCAATCTAGTAATGTGCTTAAATTCATAAAGTCTGGTTACCATAGCAAAGAGCTCATCCTAATAATTATCATGAAAGTATTTGTAGAAAAGACACAGGGAGGCAACTTTACAGCAATGGGAAAGTGACTGAAGCCAAGTCAGGGCCAGTAATATTACTGATTCTTCTTTGAATTTTGTCAAGAATCTCTAAATATATAGCAGGAGCACGGGACAATATTTGGCATTATTATTATTTCTTTTATTCAGCATTTTTTTTTTAGTTTGAGTTGGAGGATCAATTTACAATAAATTTGCATAGCAAACTGAACCCTCTCTAAAACTTAGAAAATAAAAAAAAATTTTTTTCTTGATATTCATAATCTGGAAAGCTTAATCAAAAGTTATATGCAAAAAGATTTTGAAAAAAATCAATTGTTTCTTAGCAATGTACACTTGTATAGAAACATTGGAAAATGTATTTTTCTTTTGTAGTTTGATTTATTTTTACAAAGAAGACTTTGATTTCTTTTGGGAATTTTTCATTTCTGCAAGTGAGTGAAGTGGATTTAAAATGGGGGTTTAATTTACAATATACATATAATGCAAAACTGGACCCTGACTTTTTGTATGAAATCAACTATTCAATTTACAAAGCAAAAATGTATTATTAATGATATAAAAATATCACACAATGTCATTAGTTTTTTGTTTTGTTTTAATCATTTCACCCCAAGCAAGGCAGGAATGCCACTAGTATGGAGGTGGTTACAGAGAGTGAAAAAGAAGATTGGGTATATATGGGGGGGGGGGGGAGATTGAGGAAAGGATAAAAGATGAATGGAGTCCAAGATGACAGAAGATAGCGATTGACATTGCATTTAAATTTTGAAGATTGCAGTTATCAGGGAATCAACTAAACAGAAGGGAGTTGCACTTTTACAAGAAAAGAAACTGTTGGAGTAGAAGTGACAGTTGCATTTAGGTATTTCAACAGTAAAAGGGTGGGACCTAGATGACAATCTCGCAACATGCTTAAATTCATGTAGTCTGGGCATCAGGGAAAATGCTCGTCAGAGCAGTTGCCATGAAAATATTTGTAAGGACCGAGGGAAGCCACATCACATCTGTGAGAAAGTGACTGAAGTCAAGATGCTAAATCAGGATCAATTACATTGCAAATCCTTCTTTGGATTTTTATCAAGAACCTCGAGATGCACAGGTGGGCCACCAGACCAGATATGGCAAGAGTATTCAATGCACGGCTGAATGGTAGATTTGTAAATGTGTAAGATGGACTCTGATGAGAAAAAAACCTTCTGGCACAATACAATGAACCAACTTTCCTTGCAGTAGATGAAGCTATTGATTCAATGTAATTGTTCCACTTCAAGTCAGCTAAAAATGTGAGGCTAAGAAGGCACAGTGAAAAAGGGAATGCGTTCTTCCCCGAGAAAATTACATGTTGACATAAAAAGTAAGAAGAGGCTGCGAATAATTATCGCAGAGTATTTATAGTACCAGAAAGCGTCTCCTAGTAGCGGTTTCAAAAATTAGGAGGAGGTAACCTGACAAACAACACAACCTGTCAAAAAAAGTAGATGAACCTTCTTGTAGGGTTAATAGCCATCCAGCATAATGATGTAGACTGGGATCCATAGCTATGGATATAGCAAGTGAGGTAATACAAAATCGCTGGGCAGAGGGCTTCCTAGACTGAAGTCAATGGCCAAGTTAGAGGGTTTGCTTGATGGCATCAGTGACCATGACCAAGGCAAACCTTCCAGTTAGAAAAGATTAGCTTTGGTTTGACCTAGAGAGTGATGGGCAACACCAGATGTATTTGCCCAAGACATGCTATGCATGATTGAATACCTCCCTGGCTTTCATCCCAGATATTGGAAGTAATCAGCAGTGCAGTGACCCCTACATCCATACCCATTCACAGGGCTGATGATGATATCAAATTCCTTTAAGAAACTCATTCTAAAAA